GGGGCGACCCTCCATAGCGGGCTTGGGCATGCGGAAGCCGACGAACGCCGTGCGTGTGGGAAAGGAAGCCCACTCCGTGGGGATCTTCAAAACATTCCTTCGCTACAAGTGTATCGTCGCCCCACGGCAATCTACCGAGCTCTTCAAATATCACAGATAAGCGGACGGCGCTTTCGTCGACATCCGCAAAGGGTGGTAAGCGGGAGAGCCAGAACAACGACGAGCCGCCTAATACCAAAAAAACGCAAAGCTCACAAGCTGCGAGCTGATGAGATGGTTTTTCCTGATCCGATGATGGTGTAGTCAACGCAACGTGGACCATGTTGTCGGTTTGCACCAATGGCGCCAGGATAATGTGTCTCACCAGATTTGATGGACGGATCAAGGGGAGGCTAAAGCGAACGAAGGACGCCTCCAAATCACAGAAAGCCGGGTGGAAGCGAAGGTTCGGCTAGCAAACAAGGAAATCACTGGTGGTACTGCCAGAAGACACAAGCTTTGAAGGGTACTGCCGCTTGAACGGCTCCCTCAACAACAGACTCTGCCTAGCACCGGCATGGCCGATCTACAGCACGTGCATAGATATTCACAAATTGCGGCGGACACCCTCCCCCCCCCCACCCCTAACACCGGTTCCAAGGCCAACGTCTCCGCGGCAATGAGACGCCTATGATTGATGCTGTACCGGTGACGGACAGCGCCGGAAAGATCGCCGAGAGCGACCTGACAGAACACCTCGCACTACCACACCTCGTCGGCAACAGCAGCAGGCAGCAGAGCTCTGTCAGAGGTGCACAACAGCCTGGGTACTACTGCTGTAGGGGTCCTTCAACACAACGCAAGCCCCCCCCCCGTTCAACCATTTATACGATATCTTTCACCAACGACATTATCGAACACTCCACACCACATTTGTATGGGATAGGGTTAACCTATGTAGGTACCTATTGTGTTGGTGCTCCGTTTGCGCTCGCGCGTTGTCCAACGCCCGCTTCCACGCCGCCTCGTCCTCTGCAGCGGCGCCCTGTGGAGGCTGGAGGTCGTACCGCGAAGTGTCCATGACATCCAAGGGCTTCTCGGCCCTGACGCGAGCCCACTCCGACTTCAGCAACGGGCTCTTGAACCGCGTCGTGGGCAAGGGCTTGTCCGCAAGGTAGTCCGGGGGCTCGAAGGCGGCCATCTCCTCCTCGATGAGGGAGTGCACGATTTCCTTCATCCGTGGGTCGTCGTAGTCTTTGTCGATGTACGACAACGCGTCCGCGGTCGAAGCCGGCTGCTGCTGCTGCTGCTGCTGCTGCTGCTGCTGCTGCTGCTGCTGCTCCTGCGCCGGAGCTGCCATGCTGTGTGTGAGATGGTGGAGTCGACCAGCAGCTTGATCTCTTCTTGAAAGCTCTCCTCTCTGTGTACGATGGCAGCTAACTGTCTAGGCCACAGGCGATGTGTGCTAGCATCCTACATCGTCTTCACAGCCAGTCTCGGGCCTTGGCTGGCTCATCATGCCCCCCCCCCCTCGGTTGGTTCCCGCCGCCTATCTGCGATCCCCCTCCAAACACCGCATGTCCCGCTGCAGCTGTCACCACATCAACACACCAATACCAATGGCCGTCGCTCTGAGGGTGCTTCTGCTTCTCACAGCGCTTGCTCGATGTGGGTCCTTCCTCGTTGCACCTTCTCCCCTGGTGCCTGGCATCGCCTGTGAGTGAACGCTGCGCAAGCTAAGGTCTGCGCCTGAACAAGCGCACCAGCACGCGCGCATGAACAGCACACGCGTCAGCTTCCTTGCCCGAGATTCCTTGCGCGATCCTCATTCCAGCAGATACAACCAATGCATTGGACCGGCAAACATACTGCTGTATTCCCACCATATGGCTAACAAGAGGTTGGCATTAGTTGCTAAACGTGGCCGTGCTTGCCTTCTACCGTGATTCAGTATGGGGTGTGTAGTCGATACATGTACTGGTAACGATTCGGTGTGAGGCGAAAACATGCGCGAACGACTTTGTTTGATTCTTTCTTCCCCGACAAACATTGGCGTGTTTCATGTGCAGCAGTACAGCAGATACAGACGTCTACACGTCTAGCCTACACGTCTAACCGTCATATTCTCCCCGGAGCGCTAAGCTTTCCCCTCGAGTCCAACAATCGTGGTTGTCGGGCTTCATGTTTATGCTATCCGTGCAACGCGCCCGTGAAATCGTCGTAGAACCTGGTAACACGTAAGTAAGCAGGCAAAGAGGTCGTCGTCCTCTTGTGTGCATACCATACCAGTCGACAGCTTCTTGAGTACAGAGGTCTTCAGTGTACGGTATCACTGCTTGCTTCCGCAATGACTTGCGTTCAAGGCGCTTGCGCACCGACTGTTGTAGAGCAATTGTCTGCACTTTTATTACGTAGACGATGAAGAGGTAGTAGTTGTTGCGCTACCTGGTAGTTCGTAAGATGTTCACCCTCGGAATTTTAATTTTTCAACGCTCTCTGGAATAGTCTACGGGTTGTACAAAGGTGTGTCTGAGCGTGCTGTCTACAAGTGTCTCGTATTGACTCCGTCTTTCAGGTAGAACTAGAAGTGTGTCTAAGCCCGCTTAGGCTCAGGCTAAGGCGACCAATGATGGCCGGAGATCTTCAGATGGTCAAAGGCTTTTCAAGGGCTTGTAGAAGATGCACTCAAGTTTGGTGAATGGCACGGCCCAATCGTTTTGGTCGGGGTTTCCTTTCGAATGTTCTCCGTAAGTAGTCGACAGAACCGCTCCACAGCAACCGCCGTGTCTGGTTTTAGATCCTTGCCAAAACATTCGCGGATTGGAGTAGCAGAACCCATCCTACTCCCTCAGGTAAGGGCTTGACGAACCCCATTGCCACTTGATGACTGTAAGATGGCCCCCCTTTCCGCCCCGTCTTCCGCCAGCTCGACCTGAGCGCGCATCGTGCCGCCATGCCCGACACCGAGGCCCGCCTCGCCATCTGATGTCCACCTCCGGCAACTCCCCGGAGGACATAGACGAGGTGCGCCAGCGCCTCATGGCGTCGTCGAACTACAACGAGATGGTCGGTCGAATCGAGGGCAACAGCCCCTTCTTGGAGGCGGGAGACAAGGGCAGCGCGAAGGAGGGGGAAGAGTCACCGATCTTGCCGGTCTTGCGGCAGACCGTCCGGGTCGTGGTGGACGTGGCCATCACGCTTGTGCCCGTGGTGTTGGTCGTCACCTACGCCAAGCTTCCCCCGCCGTTGCTGGAGGCGTTGGGATCGGCGGCGACGACGATAAAGGGCTCGCCACTAGAACCGGTGAGCGCAAAGGAGGAAGACGACAGCAGTTGGACCGCCTGCGCGAGAAATTTAGCTCTTGAGAATTTGAACAGGGAGGGGGGATACGCAGACCGTATGTATCCCTGACCCAGCTTCCCTGATTGCATGCTTTATCCAATATGTTTAGTTAATCGAAAAACCCTGTGAAGGCCGCTGAGATTCTTAGAAGCGGATATCAAACCATTAGCGTTAGTTCGGCTTCCAAAATACACGCCAGACAGATGATGGCACACCGGTTGCGTGAAGGCGATGCCTGGTTGGTGGTGTTTCGCATGCTGCTCGTCCCGGAGCGCAACGAAGAAACATCAACCTCAGCTTGGGGCACCAAGCAGTTGGAATGCACAGCATCAGTTGGGGCGAACTCAGCCCCTCCGAAGGTCGCACCCCGTTTACCTCTTACAAGTCGGACAGGCCGGAGCTCCACTACATCGTACGCTCTTCCTCGCCGTCTTTCTCCGGTTGGTTACAGGTGCTCGAGGCGCTGCCCTGGGAACCGGCGGTGGTGCTTAAATGGGCGGCGCAGGGTGGGGTGGCGGTGCTGCTTTCCCCGGTTACAGACAGGCTCGTGGTGTCCCCTGCGATACACCAGTGGGTGCAGGCAAAACTTCGTTCTCTTTCTTCTTAGGCGTGCTTCTTTTCGTGGCGACCCGCTTTTTGTGTCTTTTCTGGGAACAGCAGTCCTGATCACCATTCGGCAAGCTTGGTGCACAACAAACAGAGCGTAGATTAGAACGCTCGCACTTTTCCTCCGCTAAAATCCATGCGTGCATATATCCTGTATTTAGTTTGGGGGGGGGGGGGGTGCGGCTCGTGTTTCCCTGTTCCTCGCTTCCTTTGATATTCAATTGGGCGGCCGTGTTGTTGGGGCAAAAGCTACTTTGATGTAATTTTTAGCAGTACCGGTTGGAATACGCCATGAATTGCTGCAGATTGTGCGTATTTTCGACGGGGGGGGGCGTGGGACGCGCTCGGACTCGATGGTCTTTTGAACTGATGGACGACCACGAAGCTGAGAGTCACTGCTTGCTCCTCTTGCGCCATCGCCTAGAACAGCTTACGTACATTATAGTTTGAACAAGAAAAATAGGTGTGCATCGGCAAGCATCAATCAATTCCTTATTGGAGGGCACTGTAAGGCACTTTCATCAGTAACGTCTTGTGTGGATCTTAGCAGAAATGTGGTGTCTCGCTCGCCGCCACTTGCCAGGACCCGTGGGAGCGACCGAATTACAACCGACGTCGACCACGCACGTTCGCTAAAATCCACCAACGACTTGCTGCTCTTGTTTTCCTAGAACCACCAGCAATGTACCTGCAATGTACGCGCATCAACTTCCTGGCTTGCGAAAACCCCAACTTGGCACTGCACACAGAACACAGTTTCGATCAGATGGAAGATTCAGTGGCACCAGCATGTGAGAGTGAGAATTCGAGGCTCCGAGCGCGACACTCGACATTTGTCGCAGCCCAAACAACCTCTTGAAAGAACGAACCGTGGCATCAAGGCTGCTTACAAACCTTCGCCACTTTCGCCACCGTCAAAGTGACTACTGTGGGACGATAGCGGCCCTGAGTGATTTCACCTCCCCTCATTCCCCCTTGAATCACTTAAGGAATTACCACCACGGGCCACATGTATACTGACTGAAAGGAAGAAACTTTCGCAGCCTTGGTGATGGTACCACGAACGGTTCATGATCCCTTTGTCGAAGCCCGCCTGGCCTGCGCAGTGTACACCAGGGTCCGAACCAAGTGTCGAAGGGAAAATGAAGTCAGTAGTAGAACCACGTGTGGGTTCGACCGTAGATTTGCACGCCGAAAAGGTCGAGAACCCTCTATCTACGGAGTAGACGGCCCATGTGAGTTTTGGCAAGAAAAAGGCAGGAAGGCAGGAACCTGTGTTGCTGAGTTTCACAGGGATGATGTGGCGTTGTGGGTGGGTAATCATTTCACGCGACGGACTCATTCATTTGTTTCAGCGAAGAAAGAGTCGAGGCTTCGACAACACCGTTGCGCCCGATTTTGTTTTCCTTCATCCTCCTCGTGGTTGTCGTCGAAAATGTGTTGACAAGAAGAGCACGGCAAAAGCACAAGATCGCGAGCGACGAAATGACGAACCGGTCATCAAATCATTATCCAGAACGCAAACGCGTTTGGTGGGTTGACGAGCGAAGGAACCAGGAAGAAGGTAGGGCAGATATTGACGCGTGTCTTCGGTTGGTTCTCATGCTCCGCAGCCTAGAGCAGCAGTGCGAGCGTTTTTCTGCTCGTGACCAAGCTTTGCAGCAACACGAAGCATTCTTGTCGTGCTCGTCGTATTCACCCTTGACATGGTCGTTTGTCCAGAAAGAATATCGCAAGCTGAAACCATTCGTTCCTGACGGCCTTCTTGCGCAGCCGAAACGTCCTTCGGCACTACGGCTACAGGATGAGACTTTCACCGTGTCCTTCTTCGGGCGAAAGCTGACCTTTCGATTATCCGCAACAACCTTGCTCCATTCGCCCCTCTTGCACCTTTACGCTGCGCCGTATCACACCAGCTCTTCGAAGGTGCCCGAACTTGGTGGCTGGGTTGCCCTTTCCATTTCTTTGGCCGTGTTCCGGCATGTATCGGCTTGTAAGATGGCCTACAAGGTCCCATGGCATCTCGGGGCGCAATCCTTCTACTACCGGCGCGAGCTATTCCCACCGCCAATCGCTCCCATCACTCACCAAATAGGAGAATTCATTGCCGGCCTCGTTCACCGATTATCGCATTTCGGACATGGATGGTAAGTCTTCAAGAGCTGACAATAATCGGGTGCATACGCGATGGCATGTTGCGAAAGGCAACCCGGGGGTTGGTGCAACGAACATGAACACAGAAATGTTTTTTGTGGTTCCTTGCACCTCCAAAAGAGCAACTCAAAGGACTACTGTGCAGCATTGCCTAGGGTAGACGTACATGTAGTTACGTGTGCCACGTTTAGACTACAGAGTACACGGACGGACAGGCAGGCTCCCATGTAGAGTGTGCAACAAGTGTCAACCCGTGGTTCCCCCCGTAGGGCTTGTCTGGAGGATGAAACTATGGAAGTTCTGTCGCTTTCGTTTCGCCACACGGAGACGGAGACCTCTCCAAACGGGATCGAGGGTAACATGCGTGTCCTGGGAAGTCTGATGGCATGTACTTCAGAAGTATCTGTGTCTCAAAGTCTCAAAGTGGTGGTTGCTCAATTTCGAAAATTCAAAAAGCCTCTGTCACTCTGTCAGGAATAGAGTACGTTATCCGCTCCACAGGCGATTCTTCAAAAGGATGTGTTGAAGTCTCCCATCGAGGACTAGTTAACACCTGTTAGATATTGGATAGATAGGGGTCTGTCGTACAGTAGTCGTTATGACGACGCACTGAAGATCCAGCGATGCCAGCCGGAAACAGTCCGCACCCTGCTACAACGGTACTTACGCCTACATGAATCGTTGACGTATGGTACCCTTCTCGTCTGCTGCGCCGTGCGAAACCTGACTGACGAAGAATACCCAAAGTCTCCGCTGGTTATGATGATAGCAAGAAAAGTGAAAGGGCAGGTTGAGGGAGACAGCAGTAGACAGCAGATGCGCGAAGCAGGAAGTAGACGCGAGGCGTTGTGACAGATCTGAGACGCATGAACGTCGCTTGCGGCCCCGCAGATGGAAACATTTCGGGATATGGACACCACCTTCCCTTGCGAAATGGCTCTCTGCAGACCCCCCTAGCTTGTATTGTATCCAGTGCCACAGGCAAAAAGCAGGAATTACCACGGATTGGAGACGGAGTCTTCTCATGCAATGAGGAACGACCGTGGAAAACGCGGGGGCAAAGGGGGAGCCAAAGGTGGGAAAGGGGACAGCCGAGGTGAGTCCAACGTAGGGATTTTGTTTGAACACTTTCAAACCAAACCGGCCGCGTTTTTGAACACAAGCCGACCAGCCACGAACAAGTGCGGTGCAATGGGTGGGTACCCTCTTTTGGTGCAATCCTGTTTGCACCAGGTGCCAAGGCGCACCAGACAGAGGAGGGGAGGAAAAGAAGCCTGCAAACGGACCTTACACAGAAGTAATTTGATGGAGACTGCCGACATTTGCTGTAGATAACCTCCGTTCATTAATGTGTCTGTGTGTTGGTCTGCTACATACTGCCTGCTACGACATGGTACGCGACGTACGACATGGTATAACAGCAGTAGTCTTCGCACACCATACGCATCTCGCTCTACTTGTAGGTTGAGGCAACAATGCAAATAGTGTAGGCGGTGGGCGGGGGGCTTGGAGTGCGAGTGGTGGGCGAGGTATGCACACAAGAGCACACAGAGTGCAGCGGCCAGCAGTCGGAAAGTACGAAAATACAACCGCCCACAGCTGCAGCGCCTGCCGTACAGCAGTTGGCACGACACATCACACCCCGTGGGCCGATTATCAAAGCCCGACGATTCTTCAGCAGAACGAGCGGCGGTGCCGCAAAAAGCGGCGTTAGAACCGTGTCGTCAAGACCTTCCGGAAAACGAATCGTTTGATGTATGCATCCTCTGCGTCGCGGGGCAATAGTCGAGAGCTTTGAACATCGTGCAGGGTGGTATCTTACATCATCTATATATAGAGAATCCAATGTTCAGAAAAACGTGTGGGGAAAAGGGGATGCGATGAAGCGCTCACGCGTTGTTCATGAATATATTAATATCGGCGGCGTTAACCGCTTGACGGCTGGCCATCGAAAATACCACATGGCTCAGTCTGGTGGGACGAACAACGCGAAAACTTTCAATGTTGTCTCAATAAGGGGGGTGGCGGTGTAGGCTACAAGGGTACGAGAGAACAGGCGACACGGAAGGTAGAGGTGGTATGCATACCAGTTCTGTTATGTTGGTGCATCGGCTGCTGGCTCCCGACGTCCACACGCGCCCCTCGCATTCCTGTAACTGGCTCACTCCTCTCGATACCGACCCCTCCCAGGAGGCCAGCCACGGCGGGGCGGTCGCGGCGGTGGCGGTGGCGGCAGCGGCAAGCGCGCAGCAGGATCGGCGGACGCCGCAGCAGGAGTAGGAAATGGCAATGCCCCCTCCGCCGTTTCCAACGCTCAAAGGAGGGCGGGTTCTCGCGCGAACAAGAAGGCCAAGACGGGAGAGCCCGGCGTGCTGTGGAGCCCGGGGAAGGGCAAGGGGCCAGAAGGCCGCGCTTCGCTTGACACCGGCGGTTGGCGCAACGGCGACGTGCATAATCTCTCGGTTCTCGCGAAGGATTTCAAGGAGCGATACGGCGAAGAAGTGGATGCCCCGGACGATGACGACGATGATGGAATGACGACCGGCAGTAGCGTTTTCGAGACCCCCAAGCGCAAGGGCAGATTGAGCGGCGACGCCAAGCCTCGAACGCCCGTAGAGGAGGCGGCGCGGTCCATGTCTCCGGCCCGGCTCGCGGCCGAAGCCCAGAGGGCGAGAGCACGCGCAAGGGAGGAACGCTTCGGCGGCGGCGGCGGCGGCGGCGGCGGTGGTGGTGGCTCATCATCCAAGCCGCCGTCCTCCCTGGCGCCACCGGCTAGACCGTTTCCCGTTGGCAAGCCACCGGACGCGCCGCGAGGAGCACCACGGGCAGCAGCGGTGTCGAAGGCGCCCATGAATCGCGCGGCAGGCGGCCAGGGCGACAAGAACGGAAAGGGAACAAACGCTGCTGTGACAACCACGTCGTCTCAAGCTCAGCAGCCTCAGGGCGGGAAAGGCATCGTTCGCACAGCGGCCCCTAAGGGTTCGACGCCTGCAATCGGACCCGGCGGGTCTTCTAGTGGTTCGGCGCCGACGGCAGTGTCGCCTGTGGCGGCACCACAAGGAGCAACTTTTCCGGTTTCGGTAACCAGTGCTGCCGTAACCGTGCCCGCCCTTGTCACGCCGGACGCTGAGGAGGTGGATGCGAGCGCAGCTAGCAAAACGGGCAGCAGGGCCGCTGTCACAGCAGTACAAGCAGAGGCGATCCCTATGGACGAGACGCCGGCGGCGGCAATAAGCGCCGCCGCACCTAAGAGACCCGCGGCGGAGGGCGGAGACGTCGCCGCGGCGGAACCGCCCGTGAAGAAGGTATTGACACTGCCCTCGTCACAGTCACCGCCCGCGACCGGGGGCAAAATTCACACCCTGCGGTTGCGTCTGCGGACAGATTTAGAAGCCGACTCGAAACAGCCGGCGCCGGCCGCGCCCTCTCCAGCTGCAGCTGCAGGTGGTGGCGCGGAGGAGCGCAAGGGCCTCGAGCCACCAACCCCTCCTGCCGATGGCGGCGTGGAAGAATGCAAGGGCTTCGACCCCCCGAATCTTCCTAAAAAAGCGGCTACCGTTTCTTCGGCCGGTTCGAAGCCATCGCCCGTGGTGGCCCCGTCAACGGGGTTCAAGAAACCCTCCGTCGCTTCGATGAGCACCGCGGCATCAGCGGCACCAGCGGCAGCACCAGCGGCACCAGTGCCAGCAGCACCAGCAACCACTCCGAGCGCAGCACCAGCAGCACCAGCAGCACCAGCACCGTCAGCACCAGCACCCTTAGCAACAGCAACCACTCCGACCGCTGTGGCCTCGCGATTGAGCGTGCCCGCCGAAGGCAGCTCGCCAAGCAACCTCGCTTTGACCCGTGAAGGATCCTGGGGGCCATCGTTCGGCATCCCTGGCGCACAAGCGCTTCCCCCTACTCCGGCGCCGTCCCCCGACGTCGCCGCTGCGAACAAGACCAACCCGTGGATCCTGTCCCCCGAATCTCCGACGTTCGGAAGAAACCGGGGGCGACCGCTGGCCCAGGCGTTCCCGAAACCATCGCAACCAACTAGAGGCAGCAGCAGCAGCAGCGGCAGCAGAAGTGCCGCTGGTGCTACCGGTGCGGCAGGTTTGGCATCGGCAACGCGCTCGGCAGGTGAAGGCGCATCTGTGCAGCCGGATTCCCGCAGCAGCAGCGGTGGTTGTGGTGATGGCGGCATCCGCGAAGGGCGAGCCCTGGGCGGCAACGGGACACCGGCGACGTCGCGGCCGGCGGGCACCACTCCATGCCGTGCGTCACCGCAGGGTGGGACAAGAGGGGCCGACGTGGCGAATTCTTCTTCTCCTCTGACCCACCCTCTCCCTGGCGCCGGCACCAGCGCTGGTATGAGCGCCCAACCACCGCCATCGAATAGACCGTCGGGTGGATTGTTGCCGCTAGGGAGAGCAGCCGAGAGGCCGGCGGCGGCGGCAGCTGGTGGAGGGCCGGCAGCGTGTTTGCCAGCAGGTTCTGCGCTGGACGCAGCAGCGGAAACGGCGGCAGGAACGGATGCAGGGGCGGCGGCGGCCTCGGGGGGAGTTGTTGTCCTCGGGATTCGAATGGAAGGAAAGGCCGGGGAGTTGCTAGAGAGGCTGAAGCGAGAACGGGAGGAGTCGTTGGACTTCGAGAGGAAGCTCACGCAAGCGTTGATGGATCTTTGAGTGGGGTTAGTTTTGCTCGCGGGGGAGGAGTGCTGAGACTACGAGCTTGATGACAAGCATGCTTCGGCGTATTTATCGCAGACGCTGGAGTTCCATGGTCTCCGTAGAACACCAAGCTGCATAGATCGAAAACGAGATCGAGGGGTTTCGTGGAGTAGTTGTGGAGGGGGGATTAGTCAAGTTTGCATGGCGTATAGCCACAGCAGTACATGAGTGTTTTTTCTTGTTGTCGGGGGCTGCACGGGCGCTCCACCGGGTGTCTTGCCGCGTTTCTACGGACCCTGTTAGTCCCTCTGCTTAGCGCACAAGCGCCGAGAACACAAAAGTTTGAGATTTCCATGCGTGCATGGAATGTACGCTGCACGTCTGTCTTTGCGTAGCCTTACTTTTCGTACATGATACTCTTGGCGTGTTGCGTTTGCTTTTTCGTGGCGGGATCCGCGGGAGCCAACAACGAACAACTAGGTGTGTGCTTTCAGATTGTTTCCACAGCTTGCTGACACAGCGGCTGCTCCATGTACAAGTCTTTTTCTTGGCCATTCTCTGGAGCTGAACGAATCCAAGTTGTACTTCTTTACGTTTTTTTACGACTTCCAAATCGGGGGCTGCAGTGGTTCGGAATGACTCCGACGACAGCCCTTGTGCTTCCAAGGACACCCCCCGTCCGAGCTTACGAAATGTGCGCGGTGGCAGATTTTTCTTTGTTCAAGAAAGAGAAGCACGGCGCCTGTTGCCGTGTGCGCGTAGCCCAAGCAACGAACAAGTAAAGGTGAACCACTGAAAAATGCCGATAAATTTATTTCTGAACTTTCAACGAATCAGACTACCGAAGAGTCGGAGAGATGGCACCCCCGTGTTAGCGTTTTTTTGAAGCGTATTTCTCCACAAACAGGAGGGTGCGAACACCAACCGATACCTCTCAGGGAAGCCCTCGACGAGATGTTTCCAAAACTACCCTTTTCGGCAGTGGTACCCCCCTGGTTGTGGAGAAATACGCTATACAAAAACGCTGACACGGGGGTGCCATCTCTCCGACTCTTGGTAGCTAGGGCAGATAGGTAGTGTTTCTCGCTGCAGCACTCTGATGCGTTCCCACCTCTCTAGAGCGTTGTTCAACGTACGACACATGCATCTGAATACAATCCAAACGAAATTCCACATGTTCAACCAAGAATAACAAGGACACACGCCTAATCCTGACGCCCAGAACCGACGGATTTTCACCGGGCCACACCTCCATAAAATGCTACCAAACTCTCTACCTTGACTAAGACAAAATTCGCAAAATTCACGGCGACACATACCAGAGGTCCCATTGCTAGACCCTGCTCCCGCGATTGGTGGAGGGTCTCTACCATGTATTATCATGACTCAAAGCTCCGCGCCTGTTGGTGAGTCAACTGCCACCATCTCCTCGGCGGAAAAGCACGTCTATACGCTAACGTGCCGAGAAACAAAACGAATCTACAAAATTTTGGAGGTTTTCTAGCTTACCATCTGTACTTCGGGGGGAGTTCTATTTTTCATCACAGCTGGAAGACTCACCCCAACCACGACATGCGGGGAAAACACCACACGCAACCACGATTGTAGGTGTGCTGACCACATTTTTCGGACCAGCATGTGCAAGTATACGGTTTCAAACAAGCACCTCACGCCTGTACTCCTCTCCCTACCCGACGTCTCCCGCCCCCTCTACCCCCCCACCCGCGTTGTTGTGAGTGGTCTTCCACCATGCCGCACACAATCCGTTAATCAGCAAAGTGAGGGGTTCACCAACCGAATCAATCAACAGAGCGCCGCGTCCCGAATCCAACCCCGCCAAAAAAACAACCGAAATACCGCCGCCCGATGCCCGATGTCACGCGCCGCAATATACTTATGTACACCGTGAAAGAAAACATCCGCGGACGAAATCGATTCCGCCGCAACCGGTCCCATCACAAGAAACCCCGTCCATTCATTCCCGGACATGGCATACGTTCACCTGTCACAAACCACGTCATGGTCGCATCGTTCAGGGTTTCATATAGCTCAGGCGAGGATTTTCTGCCGCCATGTCGCCTTTGCTCATTCGGCCTCTGGTGCACCAGCTACCTCCCGCCGCCGTCTCGCCCTCAGGTCGCCGCAGAGCATGACGTCGTTGGGCTTGTCGCTGGTCGTCTCCACCATGAATCCACTGTTGTTGGAGTACACCACGTAGCCCAGGTTCTCGTACAGCTTTTCCGCGGCAACGTTCCCTTCTCTAACCTTGAGGTACATGTTGTCGTAGCCCCACTCGATGCAGGCATCCTCGCAAGCTTTCACCAGCTCGGTACCGATGCCCATCCGCCTGTACCGGTCCGCTACCGCGAGGTCGGAAAGGTACGGCCGAACACCGGCTGTGTACGCAAACCATAAGGAGTACAGATCGGGGTGGGAGTCAGCTGCTTCCTTTGGTAACGTGAAGGTGGGTGCAGTATGGGTGGGGTCGGCAAAGAGTACAGAAGACGCATGCGCGAGGTTTGGTAGTTGGCAGGCGGGGGGGCACTTCCATTTTGAAAACGTGCTTGCCGTGGAGTTTTTCTCTCGTCTTGAATGCTCCCGTTAGGAAAAGTCCCAACCTGAAAAAAAGCGAGGTTGACTGGCCTGGCACCAAAACTGCGTCAACCAGAACCAGGGCCATGAACCTGTCTAACACACAAATCGGTCAGGTGTGCGCGACGGCAAGGACCCCCAGCTCAACTCACGGGGTTCGCTGGAACGCACGAAAAATAACTGACGTTGTTTGACGTTCACAGCTAGGGGTGGCGGCTGTGCGTGGTAAGCAGTGGACCACTTATTTTTGGCGGCGCCGTTCGTACCTGGCGGCGACGTTTGTACCTGGCCGGGGAAAGATCTAAGCTACAGGAAACGGCGATGTAAGGATACTGTTTCACTGCTTTATTGCGACAGCGGGCTGCACCACTTTTTCACTCTCGACGCATGTCGATAGATAGCATTGGAAACAGTAGCTTTGAGGCCCACAAGGTCATTGCGACTCAGGAAAAGAGATGGAAGCTATCTACCAACCAGATACACCGATCGATGGCGAAGATGCACGCGATCATGTCCGCCTCCTGTGCACGAGAAGGCTGCAAGAAGCTTGTCAGCGTGTGGTCGATGCACGGTACCAGGCCACTACCGTTCAGCACGGTAAAAAAAAACAATCGTGTTCGGACATTAGAGGTGGCACCGGAAGAAACAAATCGGTTTAAGACTTGGTGGCATACACAGCAGAAGATAGTATTCGGTATGCACTCTCACTTTGTCCTGGCCTTTTCTCCCTCCCGTCGATGTCCACAAAGCCCGCCAGACTACCGTCCTCCACCGACGTGGCCAGCAGCATCAGGTGTCGGCTGGCGTCCTCCCCGTACCCGTGGAAGTTCTCCTGCAACCGGTTCAATTCCACCAAGCACTGCGCGGGATACCATATAGTCGACCCGTAGAACTCCGCCACAAGGAGTCGGGAGACAGCCCTGAGATCGATGTACAGGAGGTACAGGAGGAAAACGACAAAATGGACCGCAGCACTCTTCTCGGTCAGAGAAGCTGGGTGCTGGCAGCATCCCTGCTGCTGAGGTGGCAGGGTGTGTGTGTGGCCGTAGGATTACTCCGCTCAAGTAGGGTCCTCCTTCCTGATCTTGTATTATTTTGTACAAGCTGGTCCGCCAACAATACAGATTTATTTAGTCAGATGATGACATCTCTTGAACGGCGACGAACGACGGCAAGCTGATCATATCCCACGGATGGCCTCGACATGGCGCTCACATACATCTCTTCCGCTTGGGAATCCGTCAAAGCAGGCGCAGTGAAAGCGGCGTCTCACTTGGGAGTACTTCATAGCGTTATTGAGTGGCAAGGCTGGTCGTTATTTTCAAGACAAAAACTCAAAACCTCAGCGGCGCGTGCCCATGATCCAGTATCGGCGAGTCCCGGCCGCCCTTGGCCTGACCATCTTTGTAACAGCAGTAGTACGCCATGTTGCACATGTTTCTCTCTTGAGGTCCACCGTATACTAACCCCCGGGCATGAAAGCCTAACCTTGGCGTACGTAATCATCTAGATAAAAAAGGCAATCCCCTTCGCCTAGACTTCCTCGATTCCTCGATGGAACCATCGGGCGCGGAGGAAAAGTGCAGCTATGTACAGCTTACACTACAACTGCTGTACACCAGCTCCCATCGGCATCGATCGGGTTTTGCAACTTGCCTCAGGTTGTGAAACTTGGCTGGCTTTATCTCGACCAGCGGCGCTTTTTCTTTCAGATCTCGTACGTCCGTGTCGACCGAGGCTGACTCGCCCGCTGCTTGCCGTGCCGGCCTAGGGCGTTGTTGGCGGCGGTCGTATCCCCATGGTAATCGCAGAGGAGGACGATCATTAGGTTGGCGAGTTGCATGTGTAGGTCGGCTGCTGCTGATGCCGATGATCCTGCTGGAAACGTTGATCAAGAATGCTTCATTCCGGACTCTACGTCCAAAGCTGAACGACAGTAGTAGAAGAGCCAGAAGCACGTGGATCCAACATCGCGGCAGCAGCATGGCCGCTGTGTCCTGTACGAGAGCGGACTCTTTGTTCCAGCATGCATGCCAGCAGCACGGACAAAGCCAAGCTGGGGGGGTCGGTTCTCGACTTGTACCCCCCCCCCGTGTTCGTTTAAAAAATTGTTTGTGAGCCCCGCCATCGTTCGATGTGGTGTTGATGTGCACAGACGAGCAACGACACAACCCAGGTTTTATCACCCGGGCTGCTCACAGCTAGCTGCTGGTTGCTCTACCACAGTAGTAATGCCTCACACAGCAGGACAAGGATTGGCGCGGCATCGCTTGCCAGGGGACACGAGGGGGGGGGAGGAGGAGGAGGAAGCGGGAAGCGACCACGACGCGAGAGAGTCGTCGGAGCGGTACTTCTCCGCGAGGTGGATGCTAGAGAGGGAGCGGGCACGAGAAGAGTCGGACGACTGCTCGCAAGCTTTCGCGATCATCCCCGTGGGTAAGTCGCAGGGTCCTCCCGTCCATCTCAGCTCTCTCTCTCTCGCGCGCGCGCTCACCGGCAGCGAAAAGCAGCAGATCGTATTGTTTGCTCGCGTGGCTCGTTCGGTCACATTTTTGTGTCGATTGGCGACTTTGCGTCACATGACGCCACCGCTTCACCGCTTGCTTCTACCCTCGCAGCAGGTGGACAGAGTAGAACAGCAGTATTTCGGAACATCCACCAAGGAATGAATGAAACGTCGGCAGGCAAACATAGCAGCAGTGGGCTAAACGTCGATAACGCGTGCGCTTGGGTGATCAAAACTCGGCAATCACGATATCCGATGTTGTGAAGTTGGTTGTTGTTTGTTTGCATTCGCCGCGTCGCCCGCGGATACAAAAAATTGTCGGAAGAGCAGCTGCTACCCACGGCGGTCGCTGCCTGTGACGAAAAGAGAAAAGAAAGGATGGTCTACTGAAGACTTGCTTACTTCTATAAGCTCTGCTTGATGATCTACGGTACGCTGGCCGCTGTTGTAAGGGGGGGTTCTTCAACCCTCTGCCCGTTGCGAACAGCAGCCCGTTGCGAACAGCAGCCCGTTGCGAACAGCAGCAGCAGACAGACGCTCTTTCGTACCGTCAGGCGGTCCCCTGCGTCCCTGAGAGCTTCCACATACAGTACAGCAGTGTACCCTAATTATTTGTCATTTTTTTTCGAGAGAGAAGTGGTGCTTCACAACATCTCTGTTTTTCCAAGTCACGGCAGAGTTGTATCAGCCTCGCCTCGCATCGAGTTTTGCATCACGACCCATCATGCATTATCGTATACATATGAGAACCTGGAAAACTCCGAAGTGGTCCGAGTTTTGCCGTGGATCGAGAGTCGGAAATACATGAAGCACTCTTTAGTCTAGTAATAACGTGGTGCACGAGCCAGTCCCTCTAGGTGCGTGCGTGCTGCGGCCGAGACCCACATGTTGTTGTAGTGTGTTTATACATGTATACGCGATCTCTCGCGCGATTTGCTACAATCAACACCAACCACGCGCCCTCGTCAGACAATGGGAGAATGATGGTGCACCCCTTCGAGAAGCTCCTTCGCTTCGCCACACTGCTGTATCGTATCCCCGGCTGCCTTTCCAAGACTGCCTTTGCGAGGATTTTTGCAAAGTATTGAATAAAAGTACGCATGTCGAACATGTTATAGCATAGAGATGGGGGTTTCGTATCCCGAACCCTAACCCTATCTATAACTCTAACCGCGTACCCCCTACTGAAACCAAGATTAAATATCATCGCGAAGGCAAGGCTACTGCTGTTGTG